AGAAGGGATGTTAGCAAATTTGTTGAACGATGCTCAATCTGTAAAACGTACAAAAGGTGGCGGACAAAACACAGGATTGTATCAACCTTTACCGGTGCTCGAATCTATTTGGGAAGACCTTAGCCTGGATTTTATACTCGAACTGCCTCGCACCAAGAGAGGGAATGATTCGATTATGGTTGTTGTAGACCGGTTTTAAAAAATGGCACACTTTATTGCCTGTAAGAAAACCTTTGACGCCCTGAATATTGCCAAACTTTTCTTCCGGGAGATTGTAAGATTACATGGAGTACCAAGAAGTCTCACATCTGATAGAGATGTGAAATTTATAAGCCACTTTTGGCGGGAGTTGTGGAAACGATTAAAGACCCAAGTGCAAATGATCTCCTCTTACCATCCCCAAACCGACGGCCAGACGGAGGTGGTGAACAGAACGTTGGGAAACTTACATTGGTGCTTAGTACAAGAGCAACCGAAATTGTGGGACGATGTTTTAAGCCAAGCTGAATTTGCATTTAACTCCATGCCGAACCGTTCCACGGGTATGTGTCCATTTATTATTGTTTATACTAAATTACCGAACACTGTTTTAGACATTGCAGCCATTCCAAATTGCAAAAGCAAAGCAGCTGCCACAATGGTGGATCAATTTTCCGATATGTTGGCAAAGGTTCGCCTGAAGCTTGAAAATTTCAATTAGAAATACAAATTGGATGTTGACTGTCACAGAAGAAGAAAGGTATTCAAGCCGGGCGATCTTGTCTGGGTGCGAATGAAGAAGGAGAGACTACCGGCAGGATCCTACAACAAATTAAGTCAAAGAAAATTCGGACTGTTTCCAGTCAGTCGTCGTATCAATGATAACGCTTATGTGATCCAGTTACCGGTTGAATTCAACATGCCCAACACTTTCAACGTTGCAGATCTATATCCATATTACCCTCGAATAATGATGATGAAGACACAGGAGCTGGGCTGCAACTCTTTTGCGGAGGGGGCGCATGATGCGGAGCATCTTTGTGGGAGTATTCTGCATAGACAACGTATCAAGCACATGGGCCGTTGGCCAGGGGACGTCCACCACTACCTTTCTGTTTGCTCTATTTTTCTGCTTTAGACCGTTATCACTAGAGTAAGCTTTTTAGTTTCTTAGCTGCTTATAGTATACTTAGATGGAGAGATATATACTCCATAGGAGAAAGAGTAAGTCAGTTTTCGATTATTATTTAAAGGTTATAGAAGTTTTATCTCCCCGTTCCATTGGTTTCATTTCCTTTGTTTCCCAGTTTTCAATCTGTGTAGATTACCCTACATCAATAATGTAATTGTAATGGTATCATGAAGCAGGTCTTGCGGTGCTTTAACGATGAAAATATAGTAATGATGTGCACATTTATTCGATGAAGCGGCACATCCAGGATTTGAAGATGTCCTTTTGATGTGACAATTTTATGAGGTGGCATGTCAATTGACAGTGGAGATGTTATGAGGAATAGGTAGTCATGAACTCATGATGTGCACAAATTTTAGGTTGTGTACACATCTTTGTGTTAAAGTTGGTCAGCTTGTACTTACATTTTATTTTGCTTCTTCTCTGATCTCTTGCTTATAACTCTCACGACCATTACAAATCTTATTATTTTTCCTGACAGCATAGTGATAAAAAGTACAAAATTTGATGAATCTATTTTTACAGGCTAAGCAGTACAAATCTAAGCATACAAGACTGGAAGTTTTCAAGGTTGATGAAGCATTCAGGTCTATTGTTTAGTGAGATGTGCATGCTTGAAATAATTGAAGAGCTTGGAACTCTTAGGAATTGGAAGCAGGCATTATCTATTGTGAAATGGGTATACAATCAGCAGGAATACAAGAATTGCAAAAGCAGGTAAGTTTTTTGGACTATTCATTCTGTTTAGATTTTCATTAGATGCCTTATTCCTGAATCCGGAAGATAAAAAACCTCACTTTTATAACAAAAAAAAGAGAGTCAGGTTATGCTTTGATTCTTCCATACGTATTCTGAGTGCAAAGTTGACAGGTTACACTTTGAGCTTCCAGTGCTTCGTAGGTTTTTACCAGTCTTAAGTTTTTTTTTTTTTTTTGGTTTGTTTGTTTAGGTTTGTATTCACAAAACTCTTGTCTGTTCTTGGAAAAGAAAGGAGGCATCGGGAAGCTTTAAAGATTTTCAGTGAGATGAGAGTAATAATTTTTTTTAAATACTTTATCCATTCAAAGTGACATTAGTTTTGCTTATTGAGATTAAAGCTTTCTACAGTTGTGGCTTAATATGGCATGGTTTTGTTCAGAAGTTTTGTTATCAATTTTACTATGGTTTTTATTTTTTATAGGAAGATGGTCAGATATATCCTGATATGGCTGCGTACCACTCAATCGCCGTTACGCTTGGCCAAGCTGGCCTTGTGGAAGAATTAATCCATATAATTGAGTGCATGAGGCAGAAACCTTCTAAAAAGCTTAGAAATATGAATCGCAGAGATTGGGATCCCTGCTTAGATCCTGATATTATCATATATAATGCGGTTAGCACCCCACCTATTGTATATGCAGCTTTCATTGTCATGCATCGTAATTACAGCCCTGATAAGATTAATTTATTTCCTAAATGAGAGTATTTTCTTAGGTGTTAAATGCTTGTGTACCATCACGTCAATGGAAAGGAGTGTCCTGGGTGCTGCAACAGATGAGGCTTAGTGGTTTGAGACCCACAGAAACAACTTATGGGTTAGCCATGGAAGTAAGTCCTAACCAGTTATGATGAATTTTACATCTGTGATCAAAGTTGATTTAGTTATTCGTCATCATTCTTGAGTTGAACCAATTCAATTGCCTACTCTATAACTTTTAAATGTCATTTATTTGTTACAAGTTCTATGTCATATTCAAA